TGACATTTTCTGGCATAGCTACACCAATACACCACGCGATGCCTTAAAATGTTACTTATGACACTTGTACCATGAATCCATAAGTCTTAAAAAAACGTTACACTTATGTTATTTACGAGAAAAATTTTGGTCTGTTCAATTTAGAGAATTTGTTTATTTCAAAGCTATTATATATTTGAGTTTAATTTTTTGAACAAATCGAACTAACTCATTGTTTTGAACAAATCTATCTAACTAACATTGAAAAAATTCATAACAAGAAAAATTATTTCCGACTTAGAATTCGATTGTTAAAAACGTGCCTATTTTCAAATGTTTGCCTATCTCACTAAAACATACTATAATTGTGATTTATTATATTAAAAAATACTTTTTGATTTATAACTTTTTCCCTGAAAGTTGATGGTTTTTATTCCTTATTATTAAAAATTATTTTAAATCATTTTTTTTAGTTTTTAATTATTTATTTTTTCAAATAAGTTTTAATGGTACCGAAAAGTGTATCATAAATAAATGTATCCAAAGTCACATACATTTAATTAAAAATTGTTATTTATATTTTAAAATGTATTATAAATAAATTGTTGAAACATAAAGAAGTTATACTTAAGTTTTAAACGAGTGATGGACGTCTAGGAGGAAGAATGTGTTTGGCTGAAGCTGTCTCATCTAGCGGCGAGTAATCTACAAATAAACTATAGACTTATATTAGAAATATATTGGGCGATTTTTTGTTTAAATCGATAGACTTGAACTTAGAAAATAAATTAATTACGTTTCACACGTGGGACGATTTTTCAATGTATCAATGGGTTACAGAAAAACTTATATACGAATAGATATTAACAGAACACAAACACAGAATTTTTATAAAATAATCATTTGAGTATATAAAATTTCTACAAACTGGTAATTTTTACGAAAAATTTTTTTTTTAAATGTTTTTCTTCTAAATTCACTAAATTTGAACTTTATAAAAGGTTTAACCTATTATTACAATCAAATTGTAGCTTTATTTTACATATTATCTACACATTAAATCAATGCCCGTTTATGATACTCCGCTTTTCAAGTCTTTAAATCGTCCCGCGGAGAGACGAAAATCTGTAGTTACTGGTAGAATTCAGTTTTTTTTTTTATTAAAATGAACGAAAATATGATCAATTCTGTGGAAAATCGAATGATAATAGTTTTATTTTGCAGCTGTCAAGAAAAACTTGATGTTTAGGGGCTCCAAATGGGCATTTTACCAAAATTCACGATTATTTCTTGTATTCAAAAAAATTCTAGCTCAGCCGAGAGTGGCTTTAGGACAAATCTGTGGAGCTTTTTGACTTGAAATTTTCAAAACTTTAAGAAAAAAAACATTCCAAAAGCTTGATAATATACAATGTAAGAACCATATTATTACCTTGCAGCGAAACAAATATTTTTCTCTGCCTGCAAAACTGTTGTTATAGAGCAATTATGTTAATGTGCCGGCATTATAGTAATAGCTATACATTCTTTTCAGTTTAGAAAGAAACATAAAGCCCAAAAAATGATGGGCTTTAATCCGAACTTCACCAAAAAAAGGAACAGAACTTTCTTATCATGTCAAATAATGCTTTCTAAATATTTTTCATAGCACAGTATGGCATTAGTTCGCATTTATGGCAAGCTTTTTGGTGACGCAAGTCGCCCTTTTCGGCACCTCCAGACTTATGATTCAAATAAGGGGTATTAATTTGAACTTACAAGGAGACCATCCCAACTCCGGGTCATGGATTGGCTCCAAAATTTTGATATTTCACACAAATACGAGAAATTTTACCGCACACCAGTGTCCAAAAACATTTATGGCGCCCTAAAAAATGTGTATAATAAGGCATTTTTTGCTATACTATTGCATAAAGAACTATTAATAAGCCTTTGAGTAGGATGGCCACTTTTTTTTAAAGTGTCTAAAAACATGAACATTTTTTTAAAAAAATAGCACAAAATAGCCAAAATAGTTGTTTATGCAACAAGTGCCCAAATAGTAGATTTTTTGATACAGCGTGCGGAAAGTTCGTTTTTCCGCACGCTTACAAACTTTTCGCACGCTATAGCTACAGCACTGGGATCTGTTACTTTCAAAGCATCCTACTGACTGCGAAAATAGTACATTACGTCACTCGTGCGCGAAGTGGGTGCTTCTCGCACGAGTCTCAGTTTGACGCCCGAGCGCAGCGAGGGTGACAATGAGACGAGAGCGAGAATCACCACGCGCACGAGTGACGTATACTATTTTTTATCACGAGTTGCGGGAAGTTTTTATTTCCCGCACGCTCAGCCGTGCGGGAAGTATGTAATTTCGAGAAGTATCGATATTACAGTACTGCTCGGAAATTACGTACTTCCCGCACGGCTGAGCGTGCGGGAAATCAANGCGAGAATCACCACGCGCACGAGTGACGTATACTATTTTTTATCACGAGTTGCGGGAAGTTTTTATTTCCCGCACGCTGTGATAAAAACAAACTTTCCGCACGCTGTATCTAAAAACGCCTTTTGGGCACTCGTTGCATAAATATCTATTTCACTTTTTGGTCTACTTTTTTCGACATTCTTCAATTTTTCGTGATCATTGGACTTGAAGACCAATTAAAAAATTTATGAGATACCTTTTGAAATTTTGAGGCAGCTCTGTGAATTTTTTGGTTATGAAAGTACAGATCAAACTTTATGCAATATTAACTATTGTATTTCCTCCTGTAGTAGCAAGCTTCAAGAGGGCTCAGATCACACAAGAGGAATTTTTTTCCTGAAAATGTAGATAATTTCTAGCAGAACGCTCAATTGCATTGTTTTTCCTAAGTCACTAAATACTGCGCTAAGAATTTTGAAAATATTAGCAATGAGCATAAATTTCGGACAAATTTCAACAATACGTTTTTCACATTTTGCAGAAAAAAACATTTTCAGTCATTCGATTTTTGTTAGAATTGGGCATTTACATGAATAATAACCCCAAAAACGTTTTAGAATTACTTTAGTATTTAAAAACTTAATTGTAGTATAACATGAAAAGCTTCTGTTTATAATTTTTTTTTATTTCTTAGCGTCAATCAATAATTGTACAATTAAGCAGTTTATTATTAAGAATATACGATAGGTTACTTAGTAAATAATTGTATATATTAGATAATAGAGATAAAAATTATAGTATCTAATACTAAATAATCCATTAAAATTCTAAGTTTATTTACTACTGTATGAAGTACGCCTACTTTAACATTATTGTAATAAAAATATCGATTACCACGGAAGAACATTGAATACAACAGACATGCCAAAAATATTTGAGGTGAAGTCTGAAGCTGGGTAGGAGCCCAAATTCTTAAACTCGTTTTCTGAGACTTCTACCAAACATTATTCTTATAGAGATTGTAAAATCAATCCAATCAAATATTTAATCTCGTATTTTGAAATTTCTATTGAATATTTCTCTAAAAAGTTCTATGATATCCTTGAAAACATTAAAATTAAGGACATCGTAGAGCCTTTTAGAAAAAAATGTAGTAAAATTTGCAGAAAATTTAATTGAAAACTTTATTTTTGGTGTGGCTTTGACATTCCCTGAAAGGTTCTACATTGTATCTGGAACGTTTAAAATGAAAGGCATCATAGAGACTTTAACATAAATATTCTATAGATTTCAAAAAATAATAACAATGATTATTGTTACCATGGCTTCGTCATCCCATTCAGATAGACGATTCAGGTCGTTAAAAAAAATTTAAATAAGGCATCATTAAACATTTTAATTCGTGTTTTTGTTTGTTTGTAGATTTAGCTATGAAAAATTTCTCACGTAAATACAAATTATAAAGTAGATAAATTGAAATATAGTAATGGTATTGGTCTACAATTAATTTTATGAATGTCGTTGCGTGTGATATCACAAGCTTATTAATTGATATTTTGACTTATGAAACGCCATAGATTTTTACTTTGGTTACATATTACATACTATGTTTAATAAATGTATCGATTATACAATTTTTTTGAATAATTTGATACCAATAATAAAGCGAAATTGGCTCGATTTAATCTAGGCTTTATAGAGAAAAATTAGATTTAGAACAATCAACATGATCACATCAGTAAAATGTATATAAAACATTGTTTCTGATCTGACTATTGTCATAGAATATATTTTATACAATGTGTATTACATTTTTAATATTCTGGGTGTGAGTGAGATTTTGTAGCCTAAAAATACACAGATTAGTTTCTACAGAATTAAAAATTTTGTATACAATAATACCTTGATGGTGACTTAGATTTATAATTTTCATTCTTTTAACTACAATTTCAACATGTGTTGAAACATTACAAATGTGTTGTTGATGTTTTTTTAAAAATTGTTAATTTGAAAATTCTATTGCAATTTTTTGTAAAATTATAGTACAACCATTTTTACATAGAAATTTGTGGATAGAAATATCCAAAAGTTTATTATAATTTTCAAATATGTTTACAATTGAATAAAACATCACATTTTATTGTCTGTGTTTTAAAACGGTTGTTTATATGTTCAAATCTTAAAATTGTACTATTATTTTGAAATCGTATATGATTTTCTCGACTGTGAGCCAAAAAACTGTGACAATCAGTCATTACAGTCAGAGCAATTTTCGTTCTTTAATTTTCGCAGAATAAAATACTTTGATTCTTACCATTTATTTGTCGAAAAACTCTATTCGATCAAAATTATATAATTTCAATTTCACCAAGTTCAAAAGTCATTTATTGAATAATGCGAAGTGATATCTTTTGTTCACATCTTTATCTAAGATTATTAATATCAACAACACGTTGTAATTTCAGATTGCATCATGTATTTGAAATAATATGTAATACTTTTTTTTTATTCTAGTCATCTAAAATGAGTCAAAAAAGAATATTCCTTTACTGATGATAAATTAAATTAAATTAATTCAATCAAAATTTCTAACTAGAGTTTTATGTTTCAGTGGATCTTACCAATGGGCAGCTTACACCAAACAACAATACACCCCTGCTAACGCAAGCTCTTTCTGGTATGTTCTAAAATTTATGTCAATTTTCAAAAAGTATGAATTTTACATAAGGGTCTTTTGTTCTGGAAAAGATATATCTGTAGTTTTTTTTATTTTGCTCTTAAGCTACAATTTTCATCGGTATTAACGACGAGTTGCAAAAAGTACTTAAACAAAGTTTAAAGCTTCTCAATTCTCACATACATTGTCGATCAAGCTAAAACTCCTGAGCAAAAATAGTAGTGTCCAAGGGCTGTAAGTATTGGAAAGAATATGTGTCCTCCCACAAGCTTCTTTAACCGATAAACTGTCTATCACTCATCCTCCGAACTTTTTATACTACGTCGTCCGCAATCTTCCCTCAAATGAATCAAACTTTCAAATCAAGAGGCGTCTATATTTCTCTAATCGTCTAGACTTTGGAAAAGTACACCTTCAACCTATGCTAGCGACCTATTTTACGCATTAGAAAAACTTTGTCATTGTGTACATTGTCAAAGGATTTGGAAGCCAAGCAGATTCGAGATTATACAATAAATTGTTCGTAATTATCGCTTTTTTTTTAAATACATCAAGTATTTTTTTTCATTCATTTTTATTTATTATTTTAGCCTCATTTCATTTGAACATAAAAAATATGCTACTATTCATATTTTAAAAAGCATCCCGCATAAAAAAATTATTTTTTCGCGACAGTTTTGAAAAACTTTTACCCAAAAGACGTTGTTTGAATTCGCAAAAAATTTGGCCCATGCGACTCGCCAAACTTGCGTTTTTATTACAAGTTTGGCGAAACTTTATATAAACTTTGGATCTAAAAGTTTTGGTAAACTGCACTTGATGAAATGCAAATAATGAATAATTCACGCCTTTTGTTTCATTATCAGTTAATTAATTAATTTGGGCGAAATTTTACCACTTTTGAGTCTATAAAAACTTATCATTTGTAAAAGGCGAAACATTTAGCCCATACTTATCCAAAATTTATTTGAAAAATCGATCGAGTTTGACTAAAGTTGTACAATCTAAATAAATCTATGAAAAAGTAAGTTTAGTAAAATCGCCAAAGTTAGAAGAACTTTTGTGAAGGAAAACATTTTTTACGTGAAAATAGATTTTATTACGATTTGTTGAAATTTTCGTATTCCAGAATTTTAAAATTGGTTTTTTGCTAAAAACCAGAAAACAGAAAATAGTACATTTTTCACGTAGCAAGTGAATACCTGCGAAGCCTTAGAGCACATGTAATTTATCAATGTAGGCTGATAATCAAGGGCTCTGAGACTTTGTTTTTCCGCCTCAACATATTTAATACATTTAATTTTCATGGGTGATTCATTAATTTTATTCGGCCTCAACTCATTCTCAATTTATAAATGGATTTTTCATATTAAATAAAAAGTACCATACGTAACATAATTGAGTTATCTGGGACGTTCGGTAAAATAAGGTACACTGAAGGACACGTGATATTTTTTTGATTTGTTAACGTCAGTATTAATAATATTTAATTTTTTAACGAAAACCAAAATAATTTAACTAGACTACTAAATACAACTTTGCTAGTTGTACATTTTTGTAGTGTTTTACTGAAAAAAAGTTGTTTCCAAAATTCTAAAAAATTTGTGGAGCTAGTTTTTAAAATCTTGGCATTCATACTCTGAAAAAGTATACGAGACCATAATGCTGTAGCTTGAACCGTACGCTTTAAATTTTACAAGAAAGGAAGTGCATTTTGCAAAAACGTAAAACGTCAGGAAACGCAAAAGAAGAAAAATTTAACACGCAAAGTATACGGAATAGGATTACGGAAATGGATGTAACTCATTAAAAAAAAACATTATGTAATTTTGAAAAATGCTATGGAAAGAGGAAAAAATCCTATTTAATAATACGAATTTCGAGAATCCCTCATCGATACTACGAAAAAGCGTGCGTGAAGCCATAGGAGCGCGAGTCATATAATCAAGGATATTTGGCAGGCATGAGCACCCGTTTTACGCACCACGGTAGAGGAAAGCGAACGGCATCTTGGTAATACTGTCCAAACACAGTGTACAAAGAAAATAGACATTATCCCCGGTTTATGTACAACTACTAGCCCCGTTTAGGCGCAGCTACTTACTCCTGTTTAAAGACATAACGGAGATCGTCATGAAAACAATTAATTTTTTATTAATATGCTTTTTAATAAAGTAGCATTAAAAAAATTAATGAATTATTTAATCTGCTGCTATTTAACTTTGCTTTTTTTATATTTATAAATTAAATTTAAATATTGTTAAAAATTATTTATAATCTGAAGGTGTACACGCACTCAGCTCAGTTTGCCGTGCGACAGATATGAGCTTTGTTAAGGGCTCGCCGGCACCCTCAGTCACTCGCACTAACTCACACGATTTGATCTAATATTTTTATTCTACCGCTTACTCATGCACCCCAATTCACAGTGTAAAGTATTGGATTTTCGCAAGTAAAGAAGCTTCTAATTCTAACACTTACGGGCCAATTTATGCGATACACGCTTTTCACAATTGGAGAAACCTGGATTGGAGATCCTTCCTTATACAACAGCTCCGAGGGGATAGTGTGACCGTTCGAAATAGAGCATTATTTCCCATGATCTGCCCTTACCATGTCCGGCGTCATCGTACGCGATGCAGGAATAGACCTTTTTAAAACTTTTCCTCGATAGTCTTACTCAACCTATCTTTATTCAAGTTTCCTCGCGATATTATGTAGCAAGAGTTCTACACACTCAGCACTAAAGAGTAAAATTCGACCCATAAAAGAGTAAAAAGATCAGTTTACTCTTTTCAAAAGTAAAAATTAGCGAGATTCTCCTTTTGAGTTGCGGGCCGATGATCGAAAAGAGTAAATTTGCGATTTTAATCTTTAGAAAAAGTAAAGTCCCCTGTTTCTCCTTTTCAAAAGTAGGATCTGACGAGATTCTCCATTTGGGTTGCAGGTTATATGAATGTTACTCTTTAGTGCTTAGCGTGTATGATGCACTCCCAGCGTACATGTGAGCCGCACTTGCTCAGCTCTTCTAGTTGAATTTAAAATGTGACTTATTGAAAAATATACAAAGGAAAAAGGCTATATGAGAGGGTCTAACAGTACTGACACATTAGTAATCCAACACTTCGCGTTATGGAATACAAGCCTGTGAGCGAAAAAGATATTCTATAATACATACCCATCGTTGATTCTCTCTCTAATAACTTTGTTCTACCTTTTTAGTACATATTGAACGCTAATTCAGATTAGGGAAGGTTTTTCTTTTCTTCAGAATAACTTCCAGTGGGATCCAAACTCGAATTCATACAAAAATCATGCATTTTATAGCGTTTTTTATGCGTTTTGAATTTCAACGCATCCTATTTTTAATTTTTAAATTCTGATTGTCGATAGGCTCATTGAGCTTCTTTATCGAAATCATCACCAAACAATCCTCAGAAACTATACTTTCAAAAAAAATGTCACTGAATGATATGCGTCGTTACCCTCGCCTTCTACACTCTTACGAAAAATTCAACTCGATTTTAGGTTTTTTATAAAATCCTAATATCCGAATAGGCCCTACCACGAATCATCACCAAATTATAAGGAAAAATATTTTTTGAGTAGCAGAGTCTATTTTTGATGTGCATGCTTTGTAAAAAAAAAGTTACATACTATTGTTGATTTTGAGTGCATTTTAATCGAATTTTGCGTTGCACATCAATATTTTACTTTAAATAGCAAAGTTTATATAACCCATTTTAATTTTCGATATTTTGAAAAAGATAACGCAATGTGCCTTTTTTTTTTAAATGGCGAAAAATTTAAATTTTAACCAAATGTAGGAGTATATTTTGTCTAAAAAATATGGTCAATCAGCTTCAGCTTTAACAAGTACTTTTTTAAATCTCCGAAGGCGCTCGTCCGAATTTGATGGGCACTATTTTTTTCAGGTTTTTAAATCACTTACAAGTCCCAAAAAAAATGTCATAAGTGTGATCTAAAAAAACCATTTTTTATTTTTTAGGAGCAAAATATTAAAATTTCACGAGAATTACTCATAAATCGTTTTATATGGAAATAATAGACTTTTTTCTTTAGTTTATTCTTTAGTTACGTTCCATAATACGTGCAATATACCTTTACGTTATATAAAATATAAAGTACAATATACAATAAATAATTTGAGCTGATGTTATAAGTTCCTTTGATGAATATTATTAATCAATTTTGTTACAAACATTATGTTAGTATACCTAAATATAATTACACATCATAGAAGAAGCTCTAATGACTCTGATTTCTCCATAGAAGAAAAGGGGCTTTTGAACTAGACGTCATATGACAATTTGGTGTTTTTTTTAACGAGGAAAATCCATTAACGGATTTAAAGTGCGATATTGCAACGTAGCATGGATATGTCGACCTCGAAAAATCGATGTGCCAGTGCTAAAAGATGCCGCTTCGCAGAGCAAAGCAGAAAGGTGTCATTTCGCGTTCTACCTGAAAGATGCCACTTCGGTGCTCGATTCTAAAGGATGGTTTTTTCGGCGTTTGAAGTGACACCATATTAATGTTTCATGTTTTAGAAGTAAAATTGGATGCCCTACCAGAATCTGTCGTTGGAATGAAGATAATAATTAAAGTTGAAGCTTACAAACGCAGAAATACTGAGCGCCGAAGTGGCATCTTTCAGCACTGGCACGTCGTAATGTACTGATTGTACACTACGCCGAAAGAAATAATTTTTCCAGATTATTTCTGATACAAATGTTTTTGAAGCTCGCTTCCTCCATTCCTTCCAAACCAGCATCACTCGCTTCGCTTTTGATGCAAATTTTGGGAGCGATCATCAATTAATTGATAAATGGAGCCAAATTTCACATCAAAATCAAATCGTAACATGACAAGCGCTGTGTTGCTGACGAAGCTTGAGGTGAAAGTAAGCAAATGATAAATGCTCAGATTATCCAAAAATTAATTCATAAATTCATTAAAATTCTTATTTTTCTCAAAACTTTTGCACAGGGATGGAAAAAGTAGTATTTCTTGACACACGAAGAATAATTTATTGTGACGAGAAATATTACTTCATGGGATAAGAAAACTGTCTTTTATTGTCTCATGAATCCGACTTTTCTTGTACTGGAAATATTATTTATTTCAGTGTACTGTTATTACCGATTAAAAACTTACTCTTTGTCTGTGCCTATTCTTTCCCCGTGGGACTAACGTTAGGCATTACTTCGTGGGAAAAAGCTATCGCTATTTTACGAACTCTTTTTGACATGGTCTCCCCCGTCCACAGCGTGGTGCCAAATCGGGAGTGTGGTTCACACTTCAGCAGCCATTCTTTAATTTTAATTGAAGTTAAATTGAAAAATGATTTAACATGATTTTCAGGCTCGTATTAATTTTTAATTCTGACAATGCCATTTCCAAATACATAGTAAATTGAATTGATCTATGAATCATACACATAGTTAACAGTTATTTGAAGAGTATTCAACCTAGCTACAGAAAATTTTCACACTCAATGCAAAAAAATTCACTGGACACTGTCACTCCAAATTACCCGACCAATCAACTTCATATTTAACATACTATTTAAGTAGATAATAAATGAAGTAATAACGTCGAGATAATTTAACTTTTTGCATTTTTAAATGCTTTTCACCTTATTTTTTGACTTCAAAATGATGTCAAAAACTCAAAAATCATTTTTAACGAAATCTTGACGTCATTAGCTCATATTTTATGTACTCAAATAGTGGGACAAATTTGAAAAAGATCAATCGAGCAGATTTTCCGCCACAGTGTCCATCGCAATTGATATTTTTTTAATTGTGTGAGAAAATGTTCGTTATTTAGCTTATTTTTTGTTATTTTGAGCTGAAAATTTAACTGAATGCTCTTCACATAAGTATTTATAATGTATATTATTTATAGATAAATCCATTTTACTATGAGCGAACAAAAAAGTTATTAAAATGATGCTCGAAAACAATCGAACACATCCTACCCCCTCCTTAATGCAAGCCTTTTACAACTCGCTTGTGCTGTACACCCGATAATCAAATATTCCGAACGTTTTTGGTTTTTTCCTGTTAATTTTTAAAATGCACTTTGAGATGTATAGACACCACTTGTATAGTAGGTTTCACAAGTATGTTTATTAACTCTGGAAGTAACCAACTCTGGTACAAAAGCATATTTTAAAGTTTATCATCAATACTTGAGTACTACTATTTCAAATAGAATAAATAAATTCGAAAATCGTTATTAATTAATGGCAATCAGGTTGATTTTGAACTCGCAATTCAGATTTTTTTTGTGAAGTGAACTTAATATGTATGTTAGTAGACTTATGTTATGCACCAAACGAAATTCTATAATTGGTAAACGAAACTAAAAATAACCCGAGATAACCCAGTTTTCGTATATGAAAATCAAAAATTTTGTGCTTGAATTTTCCCTGAATAGCCACGTCGATTGGATTAAATTAATCATATGGGAATTCATGATTATCAGGCAGTAGACCTCAAAAAATGTTAGAACACTTTGTATCCGCATCTTGGTGTGATTTCTGTGTTAGTACATTGCTATAAAAAAAGATACGATACTTGTAACTCAAGTAGCCTATTCTGGACACCGCGTTAGCACTTTAATTACGCTTGGGCACTAACCAAGCCGTGTAATAATGGACGGTTTAAGTCAGTAAGTTTGAAAATATTTTTTTTAATCCCTTGTCAAATTTTAATAAATTTTGACCGTATCAAGTTTCCGAATGAAGCTTCTTAGCTCAATCGAGAGCATCACAAAGATAAATGCAAAATTCTGAAGACGTTTTTGAAGACATTGAGGAATGATAAAACTATTTTGATAGGGGGTAGGAGGGGGTAGGGGATCCAAAATTTCGGTTTTGGCACTCTTATATCATATGTACTATAACATACCAAGAGCGCGTCAAGATCGGTGACATACGAGCGCAGGTTTATTTACAAAATTCTGAGCCTTACCCATATCTAACTAAGGCACGTGTTACTGGAATCGCATTTATTGAATTTGTTTATATTGTAAAATTTCTTGACTGTAATATATTCTTCAATAAATAATTTTTTTGATAGCTCCTGAAGAAGACTTGCGGAAAGCAATGTCGAAACGTTGAGCATTTTGAAAATAAAGAAGTTGGTCTGTTGTCAGTCATTTAACTTTAATAAATAATAATGAAAAAATTAAATATTTTTCGAATGCGTTTAAAGTTTTAGTCAGCGAATTTACATACATCGTTCGCTCTTAAAGGGACAGCTCCAGTTTTTTGCCTATAACTTTTTAACCAAATCGATTTTGGTAAAAAGGGTTTGGGGGTGTATTCTACGGGACATTTGCTAACTAAGTGAGCAAAAAAAATTGATTTTTTGATCGAGTCTCACGAGAGCCTCCCCTGAAGGAATTGGCAGACATTCTGTGTTAGGCGTGACTAGTAATAAACAATGTGCTCTCTCGTTTGTTACTCAGCAGACCAATTTTACTTGCAAATGGGGTCAAGCGTGATATGTCAAAAAAATGCAATTGAAATTTCATTAAAAAATGAAAATCCTGAAAATTTCAGACCTTGAGACCCATCCCTCATGGATCTAATGGGGTTCAAAGTTGGATTTTCATTTTAAAAATTTTTTATGCTTAGCTGGGGGGAATATAAAAAAATTGTTGACTCACGATTTTTGATGTTCAAATTGTGAAGGAATTCAAATTTGTAATCCAAAATCACATTCACAACTTAAAAACCCATTAAAAATCAAACAAAACAATAAAAGTCCAAAAGTAAAGGTGTTCGTGTCTATCCAAATTTATAACTTTTATCATTTGTATATCACTAGCCCAAATTTCTGCGAGCTTCCCGCACTCTCTTCTTTCTTATCCCATTTTGCCATTTTTCAATCAATAAAATAGAAAAATAAAATAAGTGAAGATCATGTTATATAAACTGTAAAAATACTCAATAGGTCGACAGCGCTTCCCGAGGAAACCAATGAAAATTAGTCTTGAGCCGTCAATAGGTTAATATTCCACTTTGTCAACTTATTACTACACTCGGTTTTGCGTGCCACTAAACAATAGCAACGTACTACGACAGCTCTTATAAACTGCATGCGCTAAAAATCTCAACACTCATATAGCATGGGATGGTTAATTTATCGAAGTATTGACTGAACTTATGAAAAAATTCTGCTAATAGTCAAATATTTTAAGTAAGTCGATAAAAAAACCTATGAGAACGAATTCTTTTCAGAAATCGGGGAGGTTTTACATATTTAATAATTTAAGTATGATTAAGTTTTTATTATCATTTAATATTTCTAAAAATATCTGGTCATAAAAAATCTCAAGATAATGTTCCCATTTACTCCTAAAAGCAAAAACTTTCTGACTATATGTCAACATCATTTTATTTTTACAACAATAACTAATTTATTGATAGTTATAGTTCATAAAAATATAATAAATTATGGTAATTTCAGTGATGAATAACTATCAAGCAGCAGCACAGGCTGGTTTTCCCCCAGCATCACCTCATGGTGCCGGTGGACATGGTGGGCCGCAAGGTCGCTCGTTCCCTGCTGCAAATTCACCAGGCCCGATTGACATGTACAGTTCCAGCGCAGCTGCTGCAGCAGCCGCGGCTGCTGCGGATTCAGCAGTGGCAAGTTACGTCCAAGCAGCTGCGAGCCCACAACCACCTACCACCGCGTTCCCAGCAATCGCAGTATCGCGTGCTCCACTCAATTACAGTCCTGTAAGTATAGTAGTATTTTTGTCCGAGAAAACTGACTCATTCTTTATTTTTTAAAAATCAACACCAATTCTGAAAATAAAAACTTTCATATTCTGCGATCTTAAGGAGACAAACTATGTTTGCTTGAACAAAATTATCAAAACATCAAAATTAAATATTGACTTTGAAATTTTTAGATTTTAATATAAAATTATGTTTTCAAGAGTCCTTTTTTATATGGGAAAATATGATTACAATTCCATTGATTACTTAAAGTAGTTTAAGATCCATCAATAATTAATTATGATTCCAAAAGTGCTTTGCCGCGTGGTTACAAAATTTTTTTACCAATTTGAACCCCTAGGATCTCAAAGGTTTGTAATATTTCGCAAAAGTAGAAAAAATTTCTATGACAATTATTTGCTTATTCTATCAGTTTCAAACGCAATAAGCATTGAAAAAATCAATTATTGATATTGTTTTATATTGAAAAATGCGACAATATTTTTTCTCGATTTTAATACAAAATACATTAACTGAAACTATGGATTTTTTAAGCGATACTTTCAGTTTTAGAGACTGAAATTCAATATTATATCAAACTCGGTCATTTTTTTTTGAGGGTCAGGAACAGTATAAATTTTGAGAAAAAAATCGCAATTTAAAATACATTTAAATTAAATTTCAAGATGTTTGAAGAAGCCTCAAGGGTTCAAAAGGGGCTTAAATAATTTTAGATTTCTATTTATGGTATAAGGTTGAAAAAGTGAAAAATTTTTTTTAGAAAACAGGCATATACATTGGTGTAAGTCTAAAGACCTTCAGCGATAAGCATTTGTCACCTCTAAGCTGACTGTCGTAGGTTTTCAAGTGTTCGCATGACATAATTAAGTTGTATGTGGTTTCATTTTGTTCAATGGACCATTGAGAACTAAACGATACCCATGCGCCCCCTGGAGGATCAGTGGGGAATTGAGGCAGTTGAGTAAATTTTAAAAAATAACATGTAAAAATGGGAAAAACTGTGAATAAAAAATGCCAGCGATAACAATGTGGATGTTTATCATTCTTAAAACAAAGATCAACCCCTCACATAATTTTAGGAACAATAACATTCTTGAAAAATTGTCACATTTTTAAAATAACACTAATTAAAAGTCACGACTGACAGCAGTTTCGAAAACAGCATAAGTAGCACCCTACTGGTGTCTGCTGAGCATTTGCCGTTCGTTTGTTGACATTGCCAAGATTCACTAAATTTTTTTATATTTGACATAGATAAACTTAAAAAACCAGTGTATTGCAGTGTACAGGGATGTACAAAAAAAGGCACACGAAGACTGTATTAGTTTCCATAAACCACCAAAAGATCGTTCAGAATTAAGTGGCTACTGGCTCTGAAAGTAAAAAATTTATCAGTGCATGCTCGTATATGTAACCATCACTTTTTACCTGAAGATTTTTTACCAGGTTTGTATCAAATCCTTTTTGAAGATCAATCATTAAATGCTTATCTAATTAACATTTGCATAATTATTTTTATAGTACGCACAATAAAATGTGATCGGCTAATAAAACGGCTATACCTTCGACTATAGGTCGCTTTGAATCCCCTAATATCGTATAAATATCTTCAAAGCTTATTTCTAATTCTATATTACTCATTTTTAGCTTATATCTCGATAATATATTTATGATATGATGAGCGTGAACACAATGTAGTAGAATAATGGATAAATAAAAAACAAAAGAATCGCAAATATCAATCAACTTGCGGTGGCGACGGCAACTCCCGCGAAATTTTGCTACATTCATTTTACTATTCAAGACCCGCAGATCAAACTTTTCAAGAATTTTATTGTTTCTAATATTATGTGAGGGTCTGATCTTCGTTTTAAGAATGATAAACATGAACATTGTTATCGCTAGCATTTTTTATTTACAGTTTTTCCCATTTTTACATGTTATTTTTTAAAATTTACTCATCTGCCTCAATTCCCCACTGATCCACCAGGGGGCGCATGGGTATCGTTTAGTTCTCAATTGGTCATCAACGCAACCTCTGGCTAAGCATAAGATCAACTTTTATTACTTCACATACAATTTAATAGAATATTTTATTCATTATTGATATTTTTTGATCATTTTTAATATAATCCTCTTTTAGAAAGGTGGTGAGGATTTTAGCGATAGCAGTTTATTCGCGCTGTGATTGGTCGTCCAGCGGAAAGCATTAGTGGCGCCGCGCAATGTGTCATTACTAACCTCTTTGGGCGCGCTTAAGCGGCAGCAGCGGAGTTGGACTGTCGTTACAAGCCACGACGTTACTTGCCAATAAGACTTGGATCAGTAAATCGTGACTAGTTAATTATAAAATAAAATTATATTTAACTTATTTAAAAAAAAGCCAAGTTGAAAAAGACAGAAAAGGCCGCGCGCAGCGCGCTGAAAGTCGGACTAATATTCTATTAAATTGTATGTGGAATGTATTGTATATTCATACAAAGTTCCGTGATCCAGTGGACAAAATTAGTCCACGGACAGTGTACACCATTATTCAACCGAAAAGTCACCTTTACAAGTCGATAATAGAGATGCGTACTAGAACTGCTCGATTAAAGCGTTACAGTAACCATCACTAGCACAATTATTACATAGGACAATTTTATATTTTCAGTGTATTGTTATTAGAGCCGTACATATTAGACACGCGAATGAGCCGTACGTCGCTACATTTACGTTTTTTCCGCGTGTCAGATCTAATGCAACAGAAGTGTACATGAAATTCAATGTCTATAATGATGCGTTCTATTAGGATTTAACATCATGTAGAAAGAAGGCTATCCTAAAATGCAGAAAAGCATCTGCCTTGTATTTTCACCAAAACAGGGCAGATGCATCGTAAATCGTATCTTATCGAATTATTGTCTCGTCAAATAAGCATATTCTAACCAACGCTAAATTAGAGTAAGAATTCAAATAAGAAAATATTTTTTCAGGGTCCTCTGATTCCAGCAGCATTCACTAACGGCTACCATTGAGCTTTGTTCGAAACAAACATCAGGTTAGTTTAATATTGTAGCATATTTTAGCATATTTACTATTATACCATGTAACATGAAACTTATCTTTTAAAAAAATATTTTATAAAAAATAGTTAAAAAGAAATTAATCATGAGTTTTTCACCCGTAATATATTTTTTCTAATTAATAAAAATACTTATACAATGATAACAAAAACGATCAAGTTATGAAAAGTGAAAATTCTTATTGTGACGAAGAGAATCACTTCACTTGTCTCGACTGTTTGGGCACTGAACTTAATTAGCTTCAATAACATTTTAATTCGACTGAAATTCGACTGAAAAAATAAATGAAGATATCATTTCGATAGGAAATTTTGTCAGCTTTCTCATGGTGCCATCAAATTCTCCAAAGAATCTCATTTTCACAAGGAAAAAACAAAAATAAACCAAAAAGTTCACTTTTTCCGTACTGTGTTTTTCGAGATATTTAGCTCTCCGTGTTTCATGGCGATTTTCTCGGTGAATATGCGACGTATTGGAAAATCTGATACCACCATCGGGAAGCTGAGGAAACTTATCATCCAACACAGTAGTCAGTTATTTTTTTTAAATGAGTTTTGATACTTTTTTAGCGACTCAAAAATTGAGTAATTAGCCGTATTTACGAGAAAACATGATTTTTCGTCCTCTAAATCACAAAAGTAGCTATAAAAATAAATACTATTGAAATTTCGACTGTTCCAACGGTCGGTACCCGCGTCAAGTGAAAATAAATTTTGTCCCGATAGTACCCCTAAAAATGCGTTTTTTTTAAGAATTGCTCATAGGTTCAAAACGTTACTTCGTAATAACGAATCATTATCAGAAAAATAAATAATAAAAATTATGTTTTTGATAGGTAATTGTAGAAAAAATAATCCATATCATTGTGTAAGTATTCTTATCATTAAGAAAAATTTACGTATTTTATGAAGATAAAAAATAAATTTACAAAAACTGTTGTAGAAAACCAATCGAAAATGAAATTCTTTGGCCGAAAAAATTGTATTAAATATGTCCGGCATCTTGCAAAGTCTTTTTTGTCCTTTTTGAATTCAAATATTAATAAAATAAAAAATGTATTAGACCATTTGAATATGTATTTTTTGATCAAATACCGTTTTCTTACTTGTCACGTGTTTTTTTACAGGATGGACGAGTGGGCTGAGCGCAGTATTGTTGACTGCCGCGATTATTTAAACTAAACAAGCAAAGAGATAAATAAAATTTTAAGATCATCAATTAATATCGAGAAGGAGATAGCTACATGATCGGAGAGGCAAAAATAGAGTGAAAGAGTGATTATGAGTGAGATTGTGAAAATGAGAATGAGCGGATGAGAAAGGGGCATACATCAAGCATATAAAAAAAAACTCAGAATGTGTACAGCGCTTCAGCGTTAACACAGTTATGTATACAGCGCATGAAGATGCAGTCGTCATAAGCGGGCATCAATCATAATTGAAAGGCAGCAAAGGGTTGTCCATTAAATTTTCGAAGCATTATTAAAAGCTATACGTTATCATCGAATTATTTACAATGAGAAAAGAAAAGATTGAGTATTCATGTGTGCGGAATGCATCGTATTTTAGATCGATTTTAAAAAAGCTAAGAACAAGGCCTTGACAAATATAATGAGACAAAGATGTTCTCGTATGAATTTATTGCAATAGAGAGGAAAATAGTTAGTTAAACAGAGAAAGAGATAAAATATGGGAAAACTGGTTTGATGCTAAAACACATGTAAAATATGAAACTATTCTATTAAACCTCAATTGAGAGTGAACTTTTGAAGCAAAGTATGTAGAATTAAAGACTACTACTCTCAGGCGAAGTTGACACCTTCTTTAATCAGTTCTTAAAGGATACCTAAGTATGCAGCAGTTTACAAGTGAAAATACAAGTGAAAGAGAATACGTAGGCGTCCATAAAACGGTTGAACATTTTTTGATCGAATACAATACAATAAAGAACAAATTGTGTTGACTTGAAAAGAAAAAACTTATTCGCCCTAAATTTTGTTCGTGAGCGATAAGATTTGAAAAAAGGATGATTAACACAATGGAGATCTTCGATTTTTGACGCTAGCCCGTTCTCTCATGCTATTGAATAAACAATAGTAATATTATTATTATGAATAAAAAATTAATAATGAATAACTATTACTATTTGCTAATTATTACAAAGCAGTGAAATTTTATGATGGGTGTGTGAATATGTTTTTAACCGTGATGAATATTCAAAGAAATATTAATAACAATGATAACAATAATAATAATGAATAATAATAACATTAAAAATGAATAATAATAATAATAATAATAATAATAATTATAATAATTATAATTATAATTACAATATTAATATTAATAATCACTATGCTTATTACATTTATAATATGTAATTTGTNATATAATACAAACAATAATCATTATTATAATAATAACGATTATCATAATAATATAATTTTAAAAAATGAACGAATAATGATGTTTTTTTTAATACTACGCATACACCAAGAAAAGCTGTGAATCCCAGATCTGCCGAGAACAGGCTTAAGAAACGAAACAAAAATAATTAAATACTCGAATGAGGAATATAGATGAAAAAGTATGTTTAGCTTGATTAAATAAATTATGAGAATGAAAGAAACGCTGGATTACGTATATCAATAATAAAATCTGAAAATTATTTCAAGTACAATCCATACCTGTGCGATTGTGCTTAAAAATGTAACAATGTAAAACAGTTATATTTGTGTATCAAAAACGCGCATGTTGTGAGCAAAACTTTTCAAAATAACGTAAACCTATATTGATACGAAAACAATGAAAGCACGTAAACGTTTTCTTCCAAATTTACACAACATTATTAACACGAATTACAATTAACTTGCAAAAGTACATTTTTAAAAAGAAGGGAAAAAGATTCGCATTTTTATCTTACCCTTCGAGTGAAAACAACAGACCACAGACTTTTTTTTGTCAAAGGTTAACCAGCAATACTTATATTTTTCATTTTTAATGAATTGAATTATCTGTAAGCGTGCGCTAAAGAGTTGAAAAATGAAGGTTTTAAAATACGTAGATTCTACTGCAGACGCGAATGTCAAAAATCAAAAATCTTTTAACTATTAATTGCTTGGTATGTTGAATATTTGTGAGGTATTATCGATTATTAAGTAGTCTTTAAATGATTTAAAGAAAATTACGTTAATTCGTAAGTCTAATAATAATTTTTTTAACATGCATAATAGATTGATCACACATTGCAGCATGGTACGCTTTATTTTTGCTTGATTCTGTTTTATTATTAATAAACCAAAAAACGATCGATAATTTAATTCTTAGTTACATTTGAATTATTTACGGTTGTTATAATCAAACATTTAGTTTTAATGAATAAATTTTTTATCTGAATACAGTTCTTTCTATGTTCTCGATGCTCAAATGAAACATTTATAATACTGTATGAATAATATTTTCATTTTTATTATGATTAATAAACAAATTGCACTTAAATATATTATAAATAAGCCGAGAAAAAAACAATGAAAATAGCTTTTTTATTTTTATTTTAATCGATAAAAAATAATCCCTTAATGAAATTACAAAAATAAAACTCTATTATTATTGTTGCACTGAATTTTTTTTTCTTAAAAAGATTTCCAACAAAGGTTATTTCAAAAAAGAACAGTGAACATACATAAAATTAAAAGATTCATCGTATTCAGGTTTCATTTGACATTAAGAAAGAACTTACGAAAAATAAGAAAATCAAGTGTTAATTGGGAAATGTGATTTGTATAATTGTATTGTATTATACAACAGGGTAAAACTTTTTAAATTTTTGTAAATTTCAGAGTAATGTAGAATCAATAATGTTTTTGCGGAGCCTGTACTAATTAACCTTCACTCGTTTCACAGTATGTAGTAAAAATTAATAAAAAATTTTTTATCGGACCAAATATGGTATGAAGCGAAGTTAATTTGTTTTTTAGTACTGATGTTGTGGAATCGCTGAATAATAAGGTTTAAATTCAGATAAAAAATTTAATTTGTTGAAATGATTGTATGTGCCGTACTTCCATTTTGAAATTATTTTAGTTGAATTTTAAACAATCTAATTTTTAGTAACCTACAAATGATTAGTGACAATGATTAGTATTATGATTTTCTTTAACTCGAATACTTTTTAATAAGACACACTTTTTGTGATGTACATGAAAGAAAAATTTTTCACAGCGATTCAATAAAAATACCTTGAATTAATCATTGTAATCGCAAACCGTAATTATAACATGAAACAGCACTAATAAAACGGTACAGTGGAATCAAGCAACATAAAAAAGCATAAAATTATGGTTTGTTGCGTTTTTACGTAACTAGATTTGGAAAAAAGTAATTAAATCGTCCAAACTTATTAAAAAAAAAGTTCCACTTTGGTACATCTATAAATAAGAAGGTATCAAAATATTTAAATATAGAAAAAATTGTAGTAATCAAATTAACTGAGTTGAATGAGGAACTTTCAATCGACGTGCTAATACTAAATTTTGTATGAGATAGGTTGTAATTAATAAATTCCTCAGATATGAAAAGCCACTTATTTATAAATTATACGTGCAAAGATGCAAGCACCTGTAAACACAAATAATATACTTCTTATAACACCAATTTCGAGCGTATAACACCAAAATCAAGTCTTCAGCCCGCCATCCATATCTGAAATTTTTTTTTAAAGTAGACATATAGCAGTGCTGCATTTCAATTTTATTGTTTTCACCCGTCCGAGGTGGTACGTTTGATTACCGATATATTGACTACATTTGAAATTTTATAAATGGATAAAGCATACAATTTTTCAAGTATGTTTACCATTTTGGTCCTTGGCATTGGACGTGCTTCAAATTCCTTAGCTTTTATAAGAGATAAATAATAGCTTAAACACGTAAGTACCTATATATATTAATATAGATACTGATGTTTTACACGCACCCAGAATCATACGAGTATCCATTTTCTTTCAATAACCATTCCAATGCCATATGACGATAAGCATTTTGAGAAAAATCAAACTCTGGTAGAAATCATAAAAATGTTTTGAGTTTTTTTCAGTACATAAACATGTTCAAATACTTGCAACTGGGCAGTCCGTTAACTATTTTCATTTTAACGAAACGTTTTTCAAACCAGTTTATCCACGGTAAAAATATATAAGTGAAAATGTCAAATAAATAGACCAGGAATACTGGATGGATCGAACTGTATAAGGTTATAACCTACTGGCCCTCCTCACTCTCTTTACCAATAATCGAAAAATTGATATGATTGATTAAATTTTTTCATCCGAAATAGCTCTAGTCTTTGGCTCGTTTCACGTTTTCAACATTTTCATTTGACGTTTACCATTTTTATAGTCCGTTGAAAGTTATTCATGTAACAAGGGCATAAGTTATGTGAAAAAAGCTGAGTACGTATTACATACAAAATTTTATACATGTGAAATATGCAAAAAAAATACGTTACACAACTGAATTAGCGTAACGAAAATTTTTATCAAAATTGTGTCAATAAAGAGTTTTCTATGATTTTTTGCCCCAGTAGGCTGTTTTAATTTTTGTACATCAACCCACTCGTGCCGCGTAGCCGGCACTCATGTCTTTTGTGTTTGAACTCGCACTTGGCATAGGACTAATTTTTTCTGTTACTTGCGTCGAAAAACACGCTTTTTGCTTACAAAAAAAACATGCGAAAAAAAATTTGCCCATACAGTTACATACAATTTTTTTTTGATTTCTACCAGAGAAACTTTCAGACAATCTAACAAACCTAAAATTTTTTTTCAATAATTTGAACTTTATAGATTTAAAAAAAAACTATTAATTCAGTATTTTGTTGAGAAGTAAATTGTTTTTAAATTAGTTTTTTTAGTATCAAATAAATATTTAAAAATGATATATTATTTTGATATAATTTTCGGTATATACTAGTTATTTTGTTCTGTAGCAATGGTTGTCTTGCTTCTTTTTCATGTTAAAAAACATTTTAAAAATGACCCTCTCATATTATAGGAATTTATTTAAAAAATTGATCAATTACGTATTGAAAAATTAAAATAAAAAACAACAGACGCTTGAGACTGTCAAGTTGAAATTAAAATGTAGTGCGGGTGCTGGTAAATAAATGCGTTTACACAAATACGAGCAAATATAAAACATGAATTATTAAACTCTATGACTCTAATAATCTACACATAATGTATGCAAAAATATACATATATAAATAAAATACATGTTAAGAAAGCAAAATATATTGAATTAATATCGCAAAAAAATAATAATAACAAAAGAGAATATTAATGAATTGTTTAACCCATTTGTATATACTATTGATGTTTTAAAACTATCATACTATTGTTCTTTGATCACAAATAAAAGAAATACACTTTTAAATAAGTTGTGCGTATAAAATATTTGAACTGAACAACAGTAAAAAATAGTATTGTAAGACTGTAGGGGTCGTTGAGCGTGTGTGAACTGATCTTCCGCTTCGGTATTTTTTACAAAGCAAAAAAATTTTAAATTGATTCAAAATGTTGATAAAAATGAAAAATACATTTCGGTGCTCGCCATTGATCTCTACCGTGTCTAGTGCAATTACGTATATATTAAAAAATTACTTCATAAATATGAATAAATTAAAACCTATTTCTAGAAATATTGCAAAGCTTTACAAACATTAAAAACTAAACTGACTAATTATTTAATGAAATTGATAAAAATTGGAGATAATATGCGTATTAAATTTCATCAAATATAAGAGCTATTTTTTTTAAATAAAGGTTTTAAATAAAAGAAGCAGTCGAACTATTCACTAGCAAAATGTTGTTAATCACGTGTTTATAAACGTGCATGAATTAAATTATTTCAGCTTACATCTTCTTATGTTCTGGCTTACAGTTATAAACGATAAATTATTACCTTAAATAATCATGTATAAGAAAAACTCAAGGGGCAATAACTCACACATAAGGACACATACCCACATACACAGACAATTTTTTGTGTACTTACTTTTCATTTTAAAGCTGTTGCTAGTTCCATTTTAAATAAAAATGTCTTTGATTCCTGCGCAGATATAATAGGAGAATTTTAAAGTATGTAAAGAGAAGTAGTAAAACTTTCGGAAAAAAATTTACATACCAATTTTTAATAAGGACAAATC